ACATTATATAGACCCAATAAACACAAAAACTGCTTTGGCTTCGGGGGTTTCGTCCCCGACCCCTCCGGGGCCCTTAGGCAGGCCTGGACCCCACGCTCAGAGAACCCCCCCCCCTTGAAATGACCTGGCTACGGGCCTGCGAACCCTGTATAAAAATACGGATGCATAGTTAGGCTTGGGCCTATTATGTTCAATTAATTTAAATGATTGCTTAAGTACCGGGAACGAACTTGGAATGGCCGCTCAGCGAACTAATTATGTCGTCCGTTGTTTGTAAATCCCATAAATTTAATTTAATTATACTTTTTGTAATGTTTCTGTACCGTTATCAGGGGCGTATCCAGCCCAGTAAGAAAGAAGGGGCGTGAATGTGCAAACTGGGTAAAAGTTTTAGGAAAGAGTGCCCCCTGGTAGGGGTGCAAGGGGAATATCCCCTTTAACTTAAACCTCTAGCACCATTGATTTTTAATATTTAGCATGGTAATTTTCTGATAAGCTTTACAAAAATTACTTATTATTATTTTTTTTTTTACAAACAATATGACGGTGGCGTTCGCTTCTTACGCCCCCCTAAATCCGCCACTGGTTATAGATTTAAAATTATTAAAGTACACTGTAATTCTTGTGCCGAGTACAGCAGTCTGTGGCCTTTTGTGTTTTCGGTATTATCCTGAGTTCCTGCTGTTGCCAGGAGTAACCAACATTTATGTATTTTCCTTCCTATTATAAATATTTAAAATACTAATGTGGTGTCTAATGTTTGGATTCGGTGTGTCATACTAAGCTCGTGGATAATGCTCTCTCTCATGTGGAGTGTTGCAGCATCATGGATCACACAACATTAACTTTTAGAAATCAACAGGCCTAATTCCTTCAATACCTATTGGGTCTCTATTTTGATGAAAACATCATGTAATTACACACCCATCCATGGCCTGTCAATTAAAAACTGACGTAGTATACAATTGTTGTTTAAAAGCGTTACCTAGTGACTGTGCCCTAAATATTAAAGCCTTAAGCTCTGTCCACGCTATCAAATTTTGAAATTGTAGGCCACCTATTTGACAATTCATGTGATATGCCCATATTTGGTTGTAATATGACACCATCATGCCTATTGTAAATTTTTCACATAAAATTTGATAATGCAACAGAGCCTTGGTGAACATTTGTGTCTACAGTATGATAACTTCACATGACTTCACATGACAAGACCCTTTGCAATTTTGATATTTTTTGTTTATTGTCTTAATGCTGTTATTCCAATTTTATAATCAGGTTATTTCCAATGACCAAATAACACATTTCAAAGGGAAAGGCCTAAGGCTTACGAAGTCTAAAATTGCTCGGGTTTTTTTTTCTAAATTTAATTAATTTTTTTGAATCCCACTTTTATTGAAAATACGGTACAGAACATTAACATACAATGTGATTATATAATACTTGGCGAGTGAACGTTGAACTACAGGTTAACCCCAAGAATGTTCCCGTTAGTTTTCATAGCATTGACTTTTACCCTTCGGTGAGGTAAGTAATGTAAACATAGGATCAAACGATATAAACTATAATTATACACTAATTCCTAGGCCTTCATGGCTAAGCCGTAGAAAACCCGAGTATTAGAAATATTTAAATTGTAGACTTACACAGTATTTTCTGTTTAGTAGATTAAACACCATGTTTTTCAGTATGAATATATAATTTTGACGCTTGTTGAACAACGCAATTTTAAATTATTTCAGTCATTATTCCTTTAGTTCAAAAGGTTTAAGACATGTTCCCTGTTTAAGTGAATTTGTTTAGCGGTTTCAACGCGGAAAGACGATTTAGCGCCTTGCAATATTGTTTCAAGTGCTTTTTGTGATTCATTCTTAATCACGATCAGCCCACCATGTGTTTCAATTTGAGTTTCAGTGTCCACCGTTGGTTTTGTCTTGTGCGATTCAACCATGCAACAGAAAAATTACGGTTTTTGCTAAAGTTTAAATTGTTGAAGCGAAATTAGAAGTTACATAGGCCTATGTAGGCCTATATTTTCCCGGGGTTATCTGTTAATCAGTGTTGGAAAAAATCCAGACATTTTGTTTTTAAAGTGGTAATACAGTATTGGAAAGCTTATGCACGCAATGGACAGTGTATATAAGGGAGATGGTCCCATGGTTTTTAATTAGGAAAGACCATTGTTTCAACGATGCCTGATGCGTCAAACACCTATGTGGTTCATTGTCTTTATACTGTGATTTTTTTTTTCAAATCATAAGCTTAGGCCCATATACATGATGCATTATTAATTTATATAACACTATTCCTGAATGCAAACATAAGTAAAATAATAATATTCTTACGGAAATATCAAATCAAATACTGTCAATGAATTCCCGATTTCCTTAAAACTCATAGTCATAAATAATTGATTGCACATAGATCTTTCAATGGTTCTATTTGTCAAGCCAATTACCTCTGCAATTGGAGATAGATAATTAGGTGTTGACTTTATTTACTTACTTCTTTTACAGATTCCACCTCCGGCGGGGAATGGTTCGTTATTTGCCGTCGTATCTTCATTCGATTCTACGCATTCTAACCCAGCGTCACATTTACCTAAGTAATCCCATCGACTTCCACATTTTTCACCCTCTTGCTTTGCACACTCCGGACAGCAGCCGCACACGCCCGTCGTCACGCCCCCTGGACACTTCAGTTTTGATGCTTTTCTAGGCGAGCAGTGAACCTCCTCGCAAGGGGGACATATCATTTCCGACAGGGCCCGAATGTCTCTGTGTTGTATTATACCGCAATCCACTCGCGTAATCCATTTCAACATAAATACGGTAAAGATAATGTATACATCCATAGCGAACAAAGGTATGTGTTTCCAATTTCAAGTCCAATTAATAAGTTGCGATGACGTATATTTAGAAGAGTTTCAACGAATGACGTTACGTTATTACCAAAGTCATCTCAATCAATGATATCCGACTACCAGAAATAAAGTATCGTCTTCTTTTACTAATTTTAAGGAAAACTGTTCGCAGTGAAACAAATCAACATGACAGAATGTTAATGTTAAAGCAGGCGATTTCTATAATTGCAGTGCACTAACTTCTATTATTTCGTTGTCTCTTCCAACCTCAATAAGTTTGTTTTTTCGTAGGTCCATATAGGCCCAATAGGCAAATCAAGCGATTGTTCCGTGGTCGTTGCTAATAAGAGAGTGGCTTAATATTTATGCCTACATTCAAATAATAACTATCGTTGTGTGCAGTCTTCTGGGATCTGAGAATAATTTCTAGCAAACTTTTGGATCATCAGTGCGTGTAACTGTCTGACAACTTTACTTAAGTGGGGAACTCCCCGCCAGATGAGCTGTCAATGCATATCAACCAATCAAATCACTCGGTATCTAAGAATGCTGTCACTTCGTATAAAATGTGTTCATCCAGTGATGTCACAAGAAGAAGTGTATCTGATTGGATGGCATAATCATGACTAGTGGTCCGGTCGTCCCATCAATGGATATCTTAAGAACGATGAAATTACTGTGAGCTTTATTATACAAGGCGGTACTCTTTGAAAGTGTGCGTTACCACCAAAACAGATCAATAATGTAATTTATTTGTAAGTCCATAATAACAATATGGCTTACCAATAGCCTGGTGTGTCTATCTATTCCCCCGGTACGTGTAAACTACATGGACAGAGGTACGTCATGTGTAGGCCTACTAGCCTATTAAAACTGTCTGTAATGACTGATTATTGAAATGGTGTTATTTACTTTTCTAACAATGCGGCAACTTCCATTACTTACTGTTTAACGAGGTAACTCTCTATAAGGAGCACCTGGGGAATAATGAACAGACAAAAAATACTTTTACATAGGCAACTAATAAAATTAGACCCAGTAACTATGTACACTTAGTGCTATACCTTTTAGTATGCCTGATATTAGAATAATATGGTAATTGTGCGAATCTGTATCAAGGAACAGATAGAAGTCCTTGAGTGAGTGGGTCCTACTTCACTCAAGAAGAACTTTTTAACTGAATTTCTTTATAATTTGAACTTGCTTAAATAAATGTAGGTGGTCGGCAAGAGACTAAATTGTTTATGTTTCATTTAAATTTTTTTAAGGCAGACAATCTATAAGACTGAGCATTACCTGTTTATATTTGAAATGAATGGTGACGGATAAGAAAAAATAAACAAATTTCAAGTGTGATTCTTGCCTCGAGTCAAGTTCATTCACCCCCCAGACTTTGAATTTAAAAGACATGACAATCAACAATTCTATCCTATAACTTTTAAAACGGGTTGGTTTCAATAATGCACCAATATATTGGAATCATTTGAAAACATTAAGCAAAAAAAGAAAAAAAAAATTAGTACTCTATAATCATTTGTGCTAGTAAATTAACGTAGGCCTTACAGAGGCCGTAAGGATGACAAAAAACTTAAACTGTCATCAACAGATGTGCTAACCCAGGGCGCTACCAGCAATAATCCACACGAGCAAAATTGTGTTATACAGTATTACACAATAATCTTAGAATATTCGCCTAGATCAGGGGCGGATCCAGAATTTTTCAAACGGGGTAGGGGGTGGGTGTGCACAGCATATTCAGAATAGATAAGAAAGTTGCCCGAATTTCAATGTATGCATTGAAATTTTAAAATTTAGTGACAAAACGGGCCCCCTACTGGGTCCGCCTCTGTAGATCTTTTGTTTACGTTATGATGCCAAGATAGGGCCTACAATGTCAATATATGAATTACCTACATATATACAGAAATTGCCATTATTTCATGTTCGTTGATAACTACTAAGCCATTGGCATTCTGTATATTATTTTTAACAAGATTTTTATGTAGGCCTATTATTTTATTAGACAATAACAATTACTATCAACACTGCAGTACCCGCTGCTTACTTGGACTCGAATTCAACCCTGGCCATCAGGCGCAATCTCGGTGGTCTAGAGGTATGATGCCAGGCTAGTGATCTGGAGATCGTGGGGTTCGAGTCCCACCCGAGAACAACTTGCGATTTTTTTTCGCAGTTGTTTTCAAATGTACTAAGTATTCGGTACATTTCCACGTCAGGTTGGGCAAAATTACACCTATACAGGCCTATTATTATTATTATTATTATTATTATTATTATTATTATTATTATTATTATTATTATTATTAAAAAAGATACTGTATTCACTCATATCCTTGCGCATAGGCCTTATTGCTAACTTTATTTTAAATATTCTTTGGCTAATAGGCCCATGCGATAATCGTGTCATCATTTATGTATTAATTCAAATAAACACGATGTTCAGTTATAAATAGATTGAGGCCAGTCAAAATATATCTCGAGTAAAATAAACACTGGAAAATCACAGTTGTCGCCTGCCACTGTTGAAGAAGGTCTTTGGCATACTGTAATTTTCTCAGTGAGTGTGTACTGATATGCGCGCAAAAGTAATATAGATAGACATACCAGTACTCATATATTATACCTATATCAGGGGCAGTTCCAGGCCACGGGGGATAGCCCGACTCTCCTAAAAAAGAATTCAGCCCTATTGTTATTACTGTATTATTATTAGTACTGGTAGTGGTACCGTAGTTTTAGTAGTAGTAGTAGTAGTAGTAGTAGTAGTAGTAGTAGTAGTAGTAGTAGTAGTAGTAGTAGTAGTAGTAGTAGTAGTAGTATTAGTAGTAGTAGTAGTAGTAGTAGTAGTAGTAGTAGTGGTAGTAGTAGTAGTAGTAGTAGTAGTAGTAGTAGTAGCAGTAGCAGTAGTGTCATAAATGTCATCATTATCTTCTCAATAAATTCAATTAAAAAGAACTTTGTTATAAAACAAGCCTTTGTCAATATTTTATTAAGAGGACCTAGTCTGCTCGTGGGTAATTAAATATTTCAATTGCTGTGCAGAGTAAATAATGTAATGTGTATTCATTCCGATTGATTTTGTTAATTAATTAACAATAATCATTGCTTCATTTGTATTTTATTCAACGAAACGTAGAATGTGCCGGCCAAGTAACTTTCAATAGAGGGCGGGAAAGCACATCGACTTTCAGATTATTGGTCAAAAGTTAACTTGCTTATTAGTGTGAAGTTTAAACTAAGAACTTTTGGATTTTTAAATGTAGCTGACTTGTCGTAATCCACCTTTGAAAAGTAAAAGTGAATAGTACCTAACTTCATAAAACATACGGCAAATGTTTTCATTCATTATATCGGTTATGCAAGAGGAACTGACCAATTAATTTTATTTAATCCTCTCTAAATTTTAAATAATGCAATATTTAGGTCTTCGGCCTATGAAATCTTTAGACTTAGGCCTACAAAATACACACAAATAGGAATAAACATATTTATTTTAAAAATATGACCACAGAAAGAGTGTCATGGATAATGAAATGAAAGAGGATGGGTAGGCCAGGCCTATGGTACCAACAGGCGAGAATCCATATATTTTGTAAAAAGGTATAAACCTGGCGAGGAAGAATTTATACTTCCTGCAATATATTAAAACGCGCAAGTCAACGCCGTTGGTTAATATTTTTGGCGTTTTCTTCCGTAGGCCTAAATATCTGTTGAGGGCAGTAGAGAAGAATAACGAACGATGTTTTCCCCGTTTTCCTATAATCTTTGATACACACAACTAGCTGAATCGTTATTACTGTCTACTGCCCTCATCATCAATTCCTCAAATCATGTGATCATCATTGTACATGACAACGGGACGCTTCATTAATTTTAGGCGAGCAGATTAGAGGCTATTTTGGGGTTGAGGTGGCAATGGAAGTACTACCGGCTAATTTTGGTATTTTCTGAAAATATAAGTCTTGAGAAGTTCAGAACTCAAAATTACCCAGAATCCCTTTGGGGGAACACCTTCAAATGACGCATTCAAAATGGCCGCCCTTTTTTCACTCTAAATTAGTGTTTTAGTTAAATTATGATAAAAATAACATTACTCAAATAATATATATCAATAATTAATGAAACTTAGTCAAAATACTCTTTGATTATCAACAATAAATCCTGTGGTATGAAAAATCATAATTTTTATCACCATAGCAACGGTTGCTATGGAAATTTGAATTTTTCTATTTTTTCATGAAATTTACATTTATGGGATGCTTAAAGTTGATTAAAATCAACATTGATACAATTTCTGGATTTTTCTTTTATATCTGAATTATCTATAATATCAAAGAATAGAACTTATGTAAAAAAAAAATGGCGGCAATCATCAATATTGCACCACCAACATTTTTTATACTCCATAGCAACAACGGAAATTCAAAAGAATTGCTAAATATAATGTCATTGTCTAAGCAAATATAATATATTTTTTTTCTATAATAAACATTTGTTATTATAAAAAAACTGAACACATTGGTGTATAAAATCGAATGTCATTACCATAGCTACCGTTGCTAAGGAACTTTAAATATCGGATGGGTGTCTCCAGAATTGTTATTACAATGTTGGTTTTAATTAGTGAATATCAGAATAATAACAATAAACCTCTGTTATTGAAATGTTGTCTAAGATGTAATATCAGTTGTAATAGGTATCAAGTGTAGCAAGCACAATATATTTTATTGTTGTACAGTAATTGTTTTAATTTTACTGTGCATATGAATACTTTGTACATTAATTCATGTACAATGTTAGGAAATATTTTGATGTATAATAACAAAAACTTGAGACAAACCAATTCTGAAGCACACATCGTTGTCGCTATAGCAATAGAATTACTATTTTTTAATTTTCAAAAATTCGAACTTTAGTAACAATTTATTCACAGTAAATATCATATACTCTTATATACAATTAGAATTAATGGTATACAAAACATAAGACTATCACCATTACCGGAAGCTTTTGTCATAAGTTGGCATTAACATGAATTAATAGAATTTACTCATAAAACTTGCAATTACGAAAAAATAACTATAAATCACATCTAGTGCATCTGGGTTTCGTTGTATCTGTAAATATAACATACTGTACATAGATCGTGTGTCCCACCTAAGAACAACTTGCGATTTTTTTTCCGCAATTGTTTTTATACATTTCCACATCAGGTAGGGCAAAATTACACCTATAACATACAAGTTTATTAAAATCTATAGACATTTTAAATTATTGCGTATGTGGCATAAATGTGATAAATACATCCTCATTTGGTTTTACAGTACTGTATTTATATGACACAATATTTTAATAATTAAAAACTAATACTGTATCAATTTTGTAGCCGACGTGTTGTTGTGCAGTCAATAAGTTTTGTGCTTTCAGTTGAGTATTTTACAACAGTTTGACATACATTTGAGACCCACAGCTTGTGTTTTTGGACAAGACACCTTCTACTTTTGCTTCATATCACCCAGGACTACAAATTGGTACATGGTAGGTTGTGGGAATTCGATAAATATGATAAATATAAAAATACATCTTATACATTTAAGATGTTTGACACAAAAGTGATCATTAAAAAAAATAGTTTTAGCGTTAATTTAGTAGCCAAGTTTAATACATCTTTTGGATTATTGCACTTTTTTCCCTTTCATGACGACATACTTCAGTGCATGTTTACCCGTCTATACAACAGAGGTACTGTAGTTATTATAACGTTCAGCTTTCTCCACAGCCACACATAACATCTTGTATATTAGCTAAGGCTGTTGGTCACCCAGGACAACAAATGGGTACCTGGTAGGATGTGAATGATTCGATAAATATGATAATTATTTTTAAAAAATACCTTATAAAGATCAGATGTTTGCCACAATAACGGTTTATGATAATACTGTCTATATCATTTTTTTAGATTCTTAATTAAATATCAGCTATCTAGTCTTCTGTTACTACTTTGTCATTATGTGGATTATTACAGTTTTCTCCACTTTCACAACGACATACTTCAGAGCATGCTAACCCATCAATAAAACAGATGCAATTATTTGAACATTTAGTTTTTCCAACACACCCACAAAAAAAATCTTGTAATTTATCTAAAGCTGTTGGACCTTCAAAAAAAACAGGTTCCATAACACCTTCATGGTTTTTCCAACCATTTCCAATAGGCATTAAAAAAATAGTTTTAGCGTTAATTTAGTAGCCAAGTTTAATACATCTTTTGGATTATTGCACTTTTTTCCCTTTCATGACGACATACTTCAGTGCATGTTTACCCGTCTATAAAA